GGGACGAGAGACAGGGCCTTCTCAGTGGTGGCCCCTCGGCTGTGGAACGCCCTTCCCGCAGACATTAGATCGGCCCCCTCCCTGCTGGCGTTCAGGAGAAGAGTAAAGACCTGGCTCTTTGAACAGGCGTTTAATTAAGCAGTGCAACCAATTGATTGATCTTGGAACTTGGAATAATGGACGAGGAGATCGGATTATGACTTTACTGATGAGACGTGATGGATTAGTTATATGGATGTATTGATGTTATATTGATGTATTGATGTATTGTTATATTGATGTAGTTGCCATGATTACTGTTTTAAATGCTAATGTTGTGCACTTTGTATACTGATTTGGCTGTAAACCGCACTGAGTCGCCTACGGGCTGAGAGAGTGCGGTATACAAATAAAGTAAATAAATAATAATAAAAGACAACCTGGCAAAATGGAACTACCTAAAAGATTCTTCCACCTTGTGCGACTGTGGAGCAGACCAAACAATTCTGCATTTATACGCTTGTCCACAATGCCCTGCCTCACGCACAGAGGAAGAATTGTTTAAAGCTACAGACAATACGGTCGTTACTGCCCAGTTTTGATCAAAAATTATGTAGTCACTTGTGCTCCTTCTATTTTTATCAGTTTTAAACTTATGTATGCAATGCTTTTGGTGTTAAATAAATAAATACTGGAATTCTAAGAGCTCGCATGGTATTGTGATTTCAATGTTGGAAGACTAAAGACCTCGTAAAACTGCAAAACCCAGGATTCCAAACTGGCTCAGCACTGCATAGAATGACTATAGACTGCACATCACCCAAAGTGCCAGTAATGTCCCTGTATTGCTAAGGAATAAAAGAAAAGAAGAAGGCCATCAGCATGAAATAGAAACCTGGCCTCCTCATTATCAGCTTTCAGTTTCCCCAAGGGTTCAGGCAGCATCTTTTGTCAGCTACATCTCTTTCAAACCATCTTGAGATGCAGGCCAACTGTATCTGAGCAACGCACAGTCTGCAAAATGTCATAGCTAATGTCAGTAATGTTTTCACTGCCATCTGGTTCGGTTTTAGAAGAGCATGTCCAGAAGAACACACAGATTAGATTCAGCTAACAAAGACTTACAATACATGAAAACAAAAGGAATCTCCATTAAGGCAACATATAAATGTCTCTTCCTACAATATGTTGTTCTTTTATTTTTGCAAACAGGTCTAAAAAAAACCCCTTAGTATCAACATCAAATGTCAGCTGCTAGAGGGGGTCCAAAAGACAAATCATTCCCAGGTGTGCCCGATCTTATTTCTAAAAATATAATACTGCCATTTGGAACAGTAAGCAAATGTGCATTAATTCACTCATTTGCAACTCCTGCTCTATGGCTCGCTAAAGATGATGGCTTGCTCTATTTGTTCCTGTTACATCTACGCAAGTTTTCTTAGAAGCAGAACTCACTGAACTGAAAGAATGGTTGTGTAATCATTTATAATTACTTAATAACTTTGAATTGAATATTTATTTTCAGCCTATTTCAATTTCAGAGTAGAATGCAATGTAAAATTATCAGCACCTCTTACCAAAACTTTGAAAGAATGAATAGATTGGGGATCATATAGTATAGTGCTTCTCAACCTGTGGGTTCCCGGGTGTTTTGGCCTAAAACTCCCAGAAATCCCAGCCAATTTACCAGTTGTTGGGATTTCTGGGAGTTGAAGGCCAAAAACATCTGGGGACCCACAGGTTGAGAATTACTGAAATGTACATATACTGTACAATGTACATATAGAAGATCAGTGATCTGAATTTTTCCACCTTTGTACATAGATTGGCCTGCGTGAGCTTCTATTGATGATATGAGGACATCCAACAGAATCACCTATTCATCATTTTAATTTAGTACCTTCCTAACAATCTTTCCTCCCATTAAATTCCTTTATTTATGTAGTTGTTCACTGGGTGTGTGTATACACACACACAAATACATATATAAAATATGTGTATAAATATCATATGTATATACACAGAAATGAACCTGGTTGCTTCTAACAAAGCGTACTTCCTTATCAGGGGGCATGGACTGTAACTTCATACAGGCAGCCCCCAAGTTAGACAGGATACGTTCTGTAGGTTTGTTCTTAAGTTGAATTTCTATGGAACAGCTAAATGGTGTTTGTTTTGCTGTCTGTGCCCCTGTTCTGAGTTTACCACACTTTCTGTCACTGTGATAATTGGCTTTCAAAACCTCCAGTATGCTGTGGAAACAAGGATTGGTGAGAAAGCTTCTGTGGATACCAATTTTCCCCCTGATAACTCTTTCGGGAGTGAATTTCCTTCCTGATGGGCAGATTCCTCTCACTTCCTATTGTCTCACCTCCATTCTTAACTATGAGTTGTTTGAAATTTAGATGTTTGTGACTTGGGGGCTGTCTGCAACGGTCATCCTGAGCCACCATAATGAAGTGATTTGAGGGTTGGAGTATGACTCTGGGCTCCTTCTCAACTGGGTTAGTTCCCCTTTGGCAGGCTCCAGCAGATAATATAACAAACAGCAAACTTATCGTTTTGGAGTTCAGAAACCTCTGGAAAGAGAATGGACAAAGTTCATGTGTTCGAAAGGGAACTCTATCCAGGTAACAGGACAGCAGGTAACTAATGATCTTCTATGAGCCAGTGTGTGTAATGGTTTTGAAATTTGACTAGGAGTCCCCAGTGGGGCAGTGGGTTGAATCCTTATGCCAGCAGGACTGTGGACCAAAAGGTTGGCGGTTTGAATCTGGGCAGTGGAGTGAGCTCCCATCTGTTAGCTCCAGCTTTCCATGCAGGGACATGAAAGAAGCCTCCCACATTTGGGCTGGGGAGCAGAGTGAGCTCCTGCCTGTCAGATCCAGCTTCCAATGTGGTGACATAAGAGCCCTTCCACAGGATGGTAACACATCCGGGTATTCCCTGGGCAACGTTCTTGCAGATGGCCAATTCTCTCACACCATAAGCAACTTGAGGTTTCTCAAGTTGCCCCTGAGACGGAAAAAAATATCATTGGACTGATTCTGGAAACAAGGGTTTGTATCCATACTCAGACATGTAAATAATATTACCTCTGGGACACACCAGTGGGGCAGCAGGTTAAACTGCTGAGCTGCTAAACTTGCTGATTGAAAGGTTGGTGGTTCGAATCCAGGGAGCTGGGCCCAGCTTCTGCCAACCTAGCAGTTCGAAAACATGCAAATGTGAGTAGATCAATAGGTAAGGGAAGTTAATGGCGCTCCATGCAGTCATGCTGGCCACAGACCTTGGAGGCATCTAGGGATAATACTGGCTCTTCTGCTTAGAAATGGAGATGAGCTGTAACCTCCAGAATCAGACATGATTCAACTTAATGTCAAGGGAAAGCTTTACCTTTACCTTATGTGTATATACAGTAGTCTATACATCCCATGTAGACTACTGCAATGCTCTCTACGTGGGGTTGCCTTTGAAGATAGTCTGGAAGCTTCAACTAGCCCAACAAACAGCAGCCAGGTTGCTAACAGGAAAGGCGCTCAGGAAGCATGCAACCCCCTTGTTGCGCCAGCTCCACTAGCTGCCGGTTTGCTACCAGGCCCAACTCAAAGTGCTGGCTTTGGCCTATAAAGCCCTAAACGGTTCTGGCTCAACTTACCTGTCCGAACGTGTCTCCCCTTACGAACCATTGGGGACTCTAAGATCGTCTGGGGACTCTAAGATTGCTCTCGGTCCCGCCTTCGTCTATAGTACATTTGGCGGGGATGAGAGACAGGGCCTTCTCAGTGGTGGCCCCTCGGCTATGGAACACCCTCCCTATGGAGATTAGATCTGCTTCCTCCCTCTTAACATTTCGGAGGCAAGTTAAAACATGGCTGTTTGAGCAAGAGTTTACAAATGCAGAGTAGCTAATATAGGAAAGATTTGACAATGGAACTGGACAATGCTTGATAATAATGAGACGCTAATGATTTTTATTGCTTTTGTGGTTATTTATATTGTTTAATGTTTTTATCTGTATTATGTTTTTATATGTACTGATTTGTTGGAAACCTCCTTGAGTCGCCGATTGGCTGAGAAGGGTGGTATACAAATACAAATACAATACATAAATAAATATGGTGTATACAAAAACATAAACGAATCCTGGTCTCAAAACAACCTGGTCTCCATCTGGTTCCTATGTAAACACTTGCACAGTGAAACTGTTTTCATCAATACTGGTTTGAAACAGCACTAAATGGTCAGTGTTGATGTGTCCCGATGCAGTTTGGGGCCAGTTTTGCCCAACGGAGTGTTATTCAGGAGGCGCTGGTGAGTCCTGGGACCCTTCTGCCCTTCTGGGCCCAACACCTGAAGGGAAAGGTGGGGCCAGGCAGGGCAGCCAGGTGCCTTTTGAGGCCTACCTACCTTTTCACTGGAAGCAAGGCGCAGTGAGTCAGCAATTGGACAAAAAGAGGCGGCGCCTGCCTCGGGAGGCTCCAGGGAGGCGGCAGGGCAAAGTTCGCCCTTGTTTCCCCCGCAGGGCTTGGAGAACTAGAAGGTGCTGAGTAACGCTGACAAGGGGGCTTTCAACCCCTTTTCCCAAGCCCAGGCCACGCGTTTCTATGTTTCCACCTCCTTCCTTGTTGTTGATACATTGTCATTCTTAATTTTCGGCATGGGCCCACTTGGGCCTTCCTCCAGGTGTTTTGGACTTCAACTCCCACAATTCCTAACAGCCGGTAGGCTGTTGGGAATTGTGGGAGTTGAAGTCCAAAACACCTGGAGGAAGGCCCAAGCTGGCCCATGCCTGGTGTAGAAGGGGCTCTGTCTCCTCCCTCCCTTTTGCAAACAAAAACAAAACAAATTCTCTTTCTGGAAACTGCCAGGCTCTTCAGTGGCGTGATGTCTCTCCACTTGGCCTTGCGTCACCCTCCCTCCCTCTCTCTCTCCCTCCTTCCCTGCCTGTTCCTTGGCCCGTCCTCCCCAGGCAGGGGCTTTCCCAGCCTCCGCCCACCCCTCCGCTGCCCGCCTATAAGAGGAGCCGCGGGGCGGGCGGCAAGGCGCAGAGGCAGTCCCCGCTGGAGTCCAGGGCAGAGAGAAAGCCGGTCCGGAGGAATTCCTGCTGCGCCATGGCCCCGCTGACGGTGAAGGCCTACCTGCTGGGCAAAGAAGAGGTGACCCGCGAGATCCGCCGCTTCGCCCTCGACAGGCCGCCCCGCTTCCAGCCCATCCGCGACAAGGTGGCCGAGCTCTTCCAAGGCCTGCTCCGAAATGCCAGCCCCGGGCCCGCCGGCGCCTTCCAGATGTACTACAAGGGTGAGTCAGGGAATGTGGGAGCCCCCAGGGGACATCCAGCCCCGACCCCCCCCCCGCCACAATCGAAGCATTCCCGACAGATAGCCATCCAACCTCTGAATAGAAGGCCCCCAGGGAAGGAGGTTCTCTCCCTGGCATCCCATTGTCAAGGGATGCTCAACCGGCCCCATCCTGGCACCATCAAAACACTCCCGACAGATGGCCATCCAGTCTCTGAATAGAAGGCCCCCAGGGAAGGAGGTGCTCTCTCTAGCGTCCCATTGTCAAGGGATGCTCAGCCGGCACAATCAAAACACTACTGACAGATGGCCATCCACCCTCAGATTAGAAGGCCCCCAGGGAAGGAGATGCTCTTCCTGGCATCCCATTGTCAAGAGATGCTCATCCAGCCCCATCCTGGCACAATCAAAATATTCCCAGCAGATTGTCATCCAGCCTCTGATTAGGAGGCCCCCAGGGAAGGAGGTGCTTTCCCTGGCATCCTGTTGTCAAGGGATGCTCAACTGGCCCCACTAAATACATCAAGGGACTGCCAACCCTAGAATCGAGCCATAGAAGGGACCCCTACTCTGATCCCATCCCACCACAATCAAAGCACTCCCAACAGATGGCCATCCAGCCTCTGATTAGAAGGCCCCCAAGGAAGGAGATGCTCTGGCATCCCATTGTTATGGGATGCACAACCAGCTCCACTGAATAAATATAACAAGGGACTGCCAACCCTAAAATCGAGCCATGGAGATGGAAGGGATCCCAATGGCCACCCAGTCCATTCAGTAAAACCCAACCAAAGCACTCCTGACAGATGGCCACTCAGGCCCCTTCTGCGCTGGCCTTATATCCCAGGTTGTCTGTTTGGTGTCTACACTGCCATATAATCTGGGATATAGAAGGATATAAAACCTCCAGGGAAAGGGATGCCTTCCCTGGCAGCGAACTCCATTGTCAAACAGCTCATACAATTAGGAAGCTATTCCTAATTTTTAAGTGGAATCTTTTCCCTGCAATTTGAATCTATTGCTCTCTGTATTAACCCCCCCCCCCCCGCCTTGCTGTGACATCCTTTCCAAGGTCTAAGCCACACCATGTCCCCTCTCAGCCTTCTTTTCTCCAAGGTAAACATTGCTCCACCTCACTAGCTGGGTTTTTGCTTTGTGAAGTGGCAGATCAAGGTCCAGGAAGAAGGAGGCGGCAGCTAGAAATTATTGCTCCTCCTGCCAGATATGGTTTTGGAAGGGGGTGGGTTGAATGGATCCCCTTTAATGTTCAGAAGCACTGTGTAACTCATGACTAAGGGCCCTTCCAAACAGGCCCTATATCCCAGGATCTGATTCCACGTTTTCTGTTTATCCCAGATTATCTGGCAGTGTGGACTCATAAAAGCAGAAAACCTGGGATCGATTCAGAACTGGTTAGTTCTTGGATTAGAGGCTGTAGGTTATATTTCAGAGGAATTGGCCAAACTAGATTACTCTTCATGTAAGGAAGCCAGTGTAGTGTAGTACTCTGAGTACTGGACTAGGACTCTGGAGAATAGTCTCTCTCTGAACAAACCGTGCCAAGAAAACCCCATGATAGATTTGCTTTAGGGCCGCCACCTGCAACTTGGAGGCTCACCACAACAAGAAGAAATCCCTGAGATATTCACGGGATCACCATAAGTCAATGTGCTACAGGCACGCAGCAAGCAGTGGCAACTCATCTGGTATTAGGCTTTAGTGACAAGGTTATATGATGAGAAGTATTCTCTGATTGAGTGTTTGTGTCGAGAAGCAGTTAAAAATCCAGTGCCTTTGCACACAAAGAAGTTGGCAACCCCAGCTGGGTATTCTGTACTAATTTGGAACAGGTGTCGAAACCTAGTTTAATACTAATTTAAAACAGTGGTCAGTCTCTTGAACTAAAAGCCCAGATCTGCTTGGAAATGGCAGTCTGCCACCTAGAAGCTTGCCAGTGGAGACTGGCTCTAGCAGTTGGTTTAGAAAGGTCTTCTGCTCATGTTCAGAGGTAATACTTGCACAGGTTACAACTTATACGGTTATGAACTGGCATTAAAAACAGTTAGGGGCTATGGCCTGTTCGGCTTCCTAACAAAATACGGCCAGGTTGCATAACCCACATCGTGCCTCTCATCATATAAATGTGGTCCTGCAGCGAATAACAGAAAAGTGTGGGGTTGACCTGGTTGCTGGAGGCCTTTCCACCTTATTATTGCCTTGATAATAAGATAATAATGCAGGGCATTTCCCTGGCCTTGACTCCCGCCTATATATATATATATATATATATTTTAGGTTACTTTTCTTTTTTTTTTTTATTAATTTATCACTTTATTACATACTATTACATTTTGTACATCAACCTCTTTAACATGTTATTTTATTATTTTACTCTGACATTTCTCCCCCTTTTTCTCATTTTTTCCCCCCTTTTCACCACAGTGCTCCCCTCCACCCATTTCAAGCCACCCTTCTTACATTTCATCTGTCCAAAATTTCATTTCTTCTTGTGACGGTAATTTTCCTTCCTTATTTTTTAATCCATTTACCACAAATTTTCCCCATACAGCATCAAAATCGCTTTGTTTCCATATACCTTTTTTAACCTTTAATATACATGTCAATTTATCATTTATTGCTATTTTCCATGCTTCTTTATACCACTCCTCTATTTGTATATTCATTTCTTTTTTCCAATTCCTTGCTATAAGCAGTCTTGCTATAGTTAGTAAGTTTGTTATCGCTTCTTTATCCTCCTTTTTCAATTGCTTATCGTTATATAGTGATAGTAATGCTATACTAGGACTTTTATCTAATTTTATATTCATTATAGTTTCTATTTCTCTAAATACTTTCTCCCAAAAATTATTTACATATTTACATTGCCACCACATGTGTATATATGTTCCTGGTTCTTGACACCCTCTCCAACAATTTATTGAGTTATTTTTATTCATATGTGCTATTCTTACCGGTGTCAAGTACCACTTCCATATTAACTTGTAATAATTTTCTTTAACTCGTATCGATAAATTTTTTAAATGTCTTTGTCCCCATAATTGTTGCCACTCTATTTCGCTTATTTTATCCCTAAATCTTCTTCCCAAATCTCTTTAAGGGTGCACTTTTTTGTTTTTTCATCTTTCATTTCAATTAATATCTTATAAATTTTGCTAATTATACCTCTCAAGTTTTCGTGTTCTTCTACAGTCCTTCCCTTCTGTATTATTTGTTCGAATTGACTGAGTTGGCTTTCACTTCTATTGTTTTTTTTCCAGTTTATTAGCCATTGTTCTAATTGTATACAATGAAACCATGACAATTTTATTTCTTTAAACTCTTCCAACGACTCCCGCCTATATATTTCTAATATCCCTGTGTGCTGGGTGTGGGATCTTGTCACAGGTGCTGCTGGCAGTAAAATGAAGGATAAGAAAGCCATACTAAGCCCTATTGAATTTGTTCACTAGAGCAACTGGGTCAAAGGGAAAGTAAGGTAGGAAGGATGATGATTAGCAGCAGGGTCTGTGCTGGCACGGGAGAAGGGGACTGCTCTCCTTGGCATTAATAGTACACTGGATGAAGCTGGCACGTTTATTTCAGATTGGGAATTATCACCACCTTTCCCGTGAGTGGAGGATGACCTATATAATAGGGAGGGAAATGGTAAGCTGTCCCCATAAAGCAGTGGTTCTCAACCTTCCTAATGCCGTGACCCCTTAATCCAGTTCTTCATGTCGTAGTGATCCCCAACCGTAAAATTATTTTAGTTGCTACTTCATAACTAAATTTGCTACTGTTATGAATCGTAATATAAACATCTGATATGCCAGATGTATTTTCATTCACTGCACCAAATTTGGCACAAATACCCCATACGCCCAAATTAGAATACTAATGGGGTTGGTGGGGGGATTGATTTTGTCATTTGGGAGTTGTAGCTGCTGGGATTCATAGTTCACCTACAATCAAAGAGCATTCTGAACTCCACCAATGATGGAATTGAACCAAATTTGGCATACAGAACTCTTATGACCAACAGAAAATACTGGAAGGGTTTGGTGGGCATCGAGTTTTGGAATTGTAGTTCCATCTACATCCAAAATTGGCACAAATACTCAATATACCTAAATGTGAATACTGGTGGAGTTTGGAGAAAATAGTCCTTGACATTTTGAGTTGTAGTTGCTGGATTTATAGTTCACCTGCAATCAAAGAGCATTCTGCCCCCCCCCCCCAAGGATAGAATTGGGCCAAATTTCCCACACAGATGGTCTTTGGCGACCCCTTTGACACACCCTCGAGACCCCCCTTCCGGGGTCCCTACTCCCAGGTTGAGAATCGCTACTGTAATGGCTATGGGAGTAAGGGGAACCACATCTCTGGATAACTAAGTGTTTATTAATCCCACCATGTTACTCTTAATTTACAACAGTTTTCATGGTTTTGATTTTGCCATCCCATTTGTAAATATTTTACAAAAACTTTCTGGAGCAACAGATTCTTGAAAGTTGTGTAGATCCAGTTAAAAGGTTACAGGTCTGTCATCACTTTTCAGTAGAGTGAAATCGGAGGACTGCATATGCATTGCGTATTTTGAGAGATTGATATATGTACGGTATGTATGCTTCCAAGTTGCCTCTCTATGGTGACATCATACATTTCATAGGGTTTTCTTAGGCAAGGTGACTTTGCCAGTTCCTTTCTCTGAAATACAGTCCACAGCACTTGATATTTGTTGGCATGCTCCCATCCAAGGCTTAGCTTCAGAGATCAGGGGAGGTCTGGTGCCTTTTCTGTCTGTTAATTCTGGGAGGGAGCCAGGAACTATTTGCTTCCTGCTCAACTAAAAACAAAAGTACAAACTATTTGCTTTTATATCAGCTGTATATGTTATTTTCAGTCTTGCCTCAAATGATTGGTGATTTGCAGGTTTTCTGTACACAGGCCTGCCAGTTTCTGAGCTCTTTATCAGTATTGCTTAACTATTTTTTAAAAAAGACACAAGTTTTTCTTACGGTCAAGAAAAGGTTACAGAGATTCTCACTTGCAGTTTTTCTGTAACAGTTTGAATGGTTAACTGCTTAAAGTTTCAGCATGTCTTTGCCAGATACTTGGTTTTGTTTTTGCTCTCTTGATGGAAAAAAACCAACTCATCTGCATATTCCTTTCATTAGTCTAGCTAGTGTTACAGCCTGCAATCTGAAGCTTATTTACCTTGAAATATTAATTGAGGAGATTAATTAACACTGAACATCTGCTTCTTAAAAAATAGATTTCGCTACACTTGAAGATTGCAAGTGCACAATATCAAATAGACCTGATGTAATTAAATATTGGACATTTTGAAGGAGAGAACTTGTTGGCATTGTCTTTTTATGCAACAAATCCCATGTACTATGCTATAAGATTCAGGATAATATTATTTTCTACTGCCCTATTAATTACTTCTGAATTTATACACTGTCAGAATGAGGTAATTTATTTAATTTTTCTTCCTTTCAGATGAAGATGGAGATACCATTGCTTTTTCTAGTGATGAAGAACTGAAGCTGGCACTGCCATGTGTGAAAGATGGTGTTTTCCGCATTTATGTTAAAGGTAACATATATTCTTTCAAGGTGACTTGGCATTCTCCTGTCTTATCTTAGCTATTTTGTAATCCATTTAAGACTATGTCTCTGTAGTTATTGTTGGCTGAAAAGGAAGAACCTGAGTGTAAAAATGAAAAATACAAAAACAGGAAGTAAGTCTGAAATTAGGGAGCTTTGGGTGTCAGGGTAGAAAAATAGTCACAGGATCCAAAATTTCCATGATCTTATGGCAGGTTTCCAATTACAGCTGGAAATAATAATAGCCAGGCAGCTGACAATAAAAAATGGGAGCAGAGGTGGACAGGAGTCATGAGCTCTGTTTTAAGACTCCGCAGGGCCTACGTTTAAATAAACATGCATAGCATTCTTACACACCCATTTTATTGATTTTTTTTTTGTCCCAGTTAATTTTTCAATTCAATATTGCTTTCCTATAGAAGAGGCCTCACAACTTACAACTGATATTTTGGTTTACATTTCTCTCCTCCATCACTTTTTTGTCATGTTAATCCTGTAGGAGGAACTGTTTCATTCCTTATGTTCGGTAAAGGTTTCCTCTGACATTAAGTCTGGGGGTTGGTGCTCATCTCCATTTCTAAGCCAAAGAGCCGGCATTGTCCGAAGATGCCTCCAAGGTCATGTGGCCGGCATGACTGCATGGAGCGCTGTTACCTTTCCACAGAAGCAGTACCTATTGATCCACTCACATTTGCATGTTTTCAAACTGCTATGTTGGCAGAAGCTGGGGCTAATTGGGAGCTCACCCCACTCCCCGGATTCGAACTGCCAACCTTTCAGTCAGCAAGTTCAGCAGCTCAGTGGTTTAACTTGCTATGCCACCAAGGAGCTCTATGTTAGTTGTTCTAAAAGACTTAGGGGTTGATGTGGGGAAAAGAAATATAGTAAAGTCATGACAACTCTGAGTCCCATAAATTTAGGGCAGGAAAAACATTTCTAGTAACCAAATCCACACTCTTTGTCTATAGTGTATGTCTATTTGAAACCTTATGAGAAAGATTTACCTCTGAATTAGAACAGAGACAGAGCAAACTGAGAATAAAATACCAAATCCTCCATTGTATGCTGTCCCCTTACTGTTCTGTAGTCTTGTAACTTGAAGAAATGTGAACGTTAGGTATGTATGCCACTTATTATAGTGTTACCTGAACAGCTCCTTCCATTTGCATCTTTCAGAGAAAAAGGAACTGAAGCGTGAGCACCTTCACCGCCAGTCCTGCAGCCAGGAGCGCCCTTCCAACGTGGTGCATCCCAATGTGATTTGTGATGGCTGTGATGGGCCAGTGGTGGGGGCCAGGTTCAAGTGCACTATTTGCCCAGACTATGACCTGTGCAGCACCTGTGAGGGGAAGGGTACCCACAAGGAACACAACATGATCATGTTTCCAAGCCCACTGCTCTATCCATTTGAGGTCAGTATACAGCTGTCATTTATGAATACATTGTCACCATCTTGTTTATGACAAATGGCAGCCCCTTCAAAACATCACTCACTTATCAATGTGCATTTTTTCACCCATCAGTGGCTTCCTCGAGGTCGCTGGCATCGTAAGCTGAAGCATGGTGCTTCTCCCTTTGCCTGGATGCACGGTTGGGGACAAGGCTGCCCTCGCCAGCAGCAAAACCCGGAGCAGGCACAAGCAAGCGCTCCTCCTGAGAACCCTCCTCCTGAGCAAGGTAGGGACTTGGTCTTCTATTATATAGCCCTTACTGGTATAGAAGCAACGTAACACACTACAATGCACAAAGTAGACTCATCCCAAGACAATATAGTTAAATAATGCCAAACTTCTCTAACTGAAATGTTGTCATCTGACTTCGAAGTTTTCTTCGTTGGACTTTTATCGTCAAATCTCGCAAATATTATTTTCCCTTTATTTCTTCGTTATTAGGAAGGATTAAAACAATTGTCAGTCTTTAAAGAAATTGTCCAATTACTTCTTGCTAATCCAAGTAGATAAGTTGCTTGCTTCAGATGTTCCAAAAACTTCAAATCCATTCTTTTGTGGGCAGACTAGTATTTTTCAAATTCTGGATAAGAACTTTGGATTATGGCCACTGAGAAACTGATTCAAGTGCGAAATAAATTGGTTTGATCATTTGGCAGTCTCAGCCAAGCTCAGGATGAGACTGCCAAATGAGCAAACCAGTTTATTTTGCTTGTGAACTGGCTTGATTGCAAGGAACTTACTTTTTAAAAAATGTGTTAAAATCTCAAGGTTGCTGCACCCAATTATATCTAAGAGCCTTGAACTCAGTTGAACATATTTTGTCTTGCGTTCTTTGTTAGTGACTCAGTTTTCCTCCCCACAAAAGCAGCCTCCAGCAGTCAGTCTCAGAATCCGAATGTCACCTTTCTGAAGAATGTTGGAGAAACTGTTGCTGCGTTCCTGAGTCCATTGGGTAAGCAACTGCTGTCGTTTAACTTTTTTCCCCTATGCTGTTGCACTTAGCTTCTTGAAGGCATCTAATAGAATAATTGAATTTTTAAAAATGTAACTAACAGTTTGTGTATTTGTTGTTCACCACCACCACAGATGGAGGGATTGTGGTGTACTGATTTCACATAAGTATGTGCAAGTCCAAAGTGTGCATATTTCTTTAATCAGGGGTTCTCAACCCGTGGATCCCCGTATGTTTTAGCCTTCATCTCCCAGAAATCCTAACAGCTGGTAAACTGGCTGGGATTTCTGGAAGTTGTAGGCCAAAACACCTGGGAACCCACATATTAAGAACCACTGCTTTAGATGATTGCAGAGCTTGGTATTCAATTCTTTCCCCACAATAACCAAAATGCCCCAGGATAGCACCAATCTCCCCTCAAGCCATCCACTAGCTGGTGGTAAAGACTGAGGAATGTTTGGCTACATCTCCATAGCAGGCAGAGAATGATTGCATTATCTTAAAATGTTTTGGAGGAGCCATGAATCCATCTTGGTGGATGTTGTCATTTGGTTGCAATTCCCCTACCTCTACTTTGTGGTCACTGAATGGCTGTGGAGGGCATCTGTAACAGCTAAACAGTGAGTCTGGAGGCGTGTTTTGAGAAAACAGACGTAGCATGGCTCAGTATGTGGAACTTTTAGATTACACTGTTCAATATAGTCTCACCCTATGTTTGCTACTCTGTCTCTTCCCACTGTGGCACCTGGTTGAAGCAGTGGTTGCTTATCTTTCAGTGGATGCTTCCCCCCCAGTAATTCCATTTGAAGCATTTGAATACTATGAACAGGCATGTTAGAAGTAGTGTTGCAACTATCTATGCTCCCAATAACAAAATCAGTAGATGTGGTGCATCACTGTGGCACATTCCTTGTGAGAACCTGTCAAATAAATTGTGAGTCAAATACATTGTGATTGTAGTATGCACAGGGATTGCATCACTGCTAAAAGTTTTTACAGAGTAATGCGGACGATGGCAAAAAAAAGTTGGCACTGTAGGTCACTGTCCATTTAAGAGTAGGGTTCATGCCAAACACTGCAGAGCAGTCAACATGTTGTCCAGCTATCTTGTCAATGAGGTGCTCCTTTTCATATTCTCCTTGGCAGGAGCACACACTTTCTGTCCTTCAGGTTCTTGACAAGGTTGTGGGATAGTTTCTTTAATTGCAGCAAATCATTGCCATTGTAGAATGGAAGAATACATCCCATTGACGTTAAAATCATTAGAGATAAAAAAACCTTCTGGCAAGATGGCCACCAATCTCCTTCTCTTATACTGTCTTTTTAGGCATTGATGTTGATATTGATGTGGAACATGAGGGCCAGAGAAGTAAAGTGACACCTACAGTCCCCAACCCTGACAGCAGCTCTAGACCCAGCACTTCCAAGGAGCAGGATAAGCCAGAAGAAAGCAGCCAAAGCAAACCAGCTTCAGAAGCAGCTGATGACATTGCAGACCAGATGGAGGAGATGATGGTGCGTTCTCCTCCTTCACATATGGAAGACGAGAGCCTTTTGTCACAGGTAAACAAAGCTACTGGTTTTGAGTGTGCCCTTAATCACAGTGTCAAGATGTATAGGTTTTGCTTGCAGTACTAATTAAGATTACCTACTATTGGTGGATGTTTAGTACTGATACCTTTTAAAGCAAGCTTTCTTGATATGCAGAAGAGATACATTCTAATTCTGCAATATCTCAAAGTTTATTAGTCATCATCTAACCAAATTCAAGGCTGCATGCAAATAATGTATTGGTAGCAAAGCTTTAGTTAGATCTTCCCTAAGCAAACTCTTTCAAGTCTAAGGGCCCTTCCACACAGCCATATAAGCTAGAATATCAAGGCAGAAAATCCCACAATATCTACTTTGAAGTGGCATATCTGAGTCCACACTGCCATATATTCCAGTTCAAAGCAGATAATGTGGGATACTATTAAGCTGTGTAGAAGGAACCTTGGTAAAGCTAGAAACATTAAAGTAGAAATGGAAAACATGCTGGATATCCTTGAAATAGTCACAGCTCACAACTGAACAAGTGATTCAGGAAAGGTTTTCCAAATACAGTATGTCATTTGATTAAAAATGCAGTTCAGTAACATGTTTGTAGAAGGAACTTGTTTTAAATGTTTAGATGATGAAAGTAGATCTCTAATGCACACAGAAGTGGTCAAAACACTAATGTGGGAAGTCAACAGGGATCAATGCTGTTTCAGATATGTGTATTTTGCTACGGCTTGCCATGTTTCCTTGTAGTGTATCCACTGCAGGCTTTTTTTTATGACTTACCAATACTGCCTGTAATTGTGTATGGTCCTAGCGAATTAGGTTTGACAGGTGCCTTGCATTTGTGTTCTTCCAGGAGCCAGGGGAATCCTGTAATAGTTCAGCAGGGGATGAGGACTGGACTCACTTGTCTCCAAAGGAAGTGGATCCTTCAACTGGTGAACCACAGTCCTTACAAATGACTGAGGTGGATGGGCCAAGTTCTTCGGAGCCAAGTGGAGCTAATGCTGGACCAACCGGACTCCGAGAAGCTGCACTCTACCCACATCTTCCACCAGGTAATAAAAGCTTGGAAAGATACTTGAAGTTCTGGCATAAACTTCATGGGGATGCTTCTTATACACACTATAGAATGAATTATGATGTTCTATCTATCACGCTCCCATAGCAAATCCTAGTAACTTAAACTCTGTTATTTAATAAATTTATTCGCTCCCCTTTACCATAAGTGCCCAGACTGATGCACAGCAGTGCTTCTCAAGGTGTCTCTTATGGGGGATGAACACTTATTCTTCTAATGGGCAGGCACTGTATTTGTTTAGGAACTGGCATTGGTGCAGAGACCATTACTTTAAATAGCACTGATTCATAGCAGTTATCAAATGTGTCAAAAAAGAACAAGGGGTTTTTCTTAAACCAATTGAACTATAAAACAATTAAAACCAGATATACAAGATGTTGAAATGCTTAGGGAAGGAATTAATGACTTGGTGTGACATTTACAAACTTCCCGTGGAATGCATACTGAAGCAGGGTGTCACAAGTAAAAAAGCCCCGAGTGCCTAACTGAAGAGAGTAGTCTGACTGAAGAAAAGACCTGATGACAGTCTAAGGATGTAAGCAGAAATGTAGCACAAGAGGCAGCCAATCTGACAAATAGCCACCCAGTACTATGTGTACACTATTTAACAGGTCAGAACTTGTATGTAAATTCATTGCTGAAATGAATCATATTCATATGGCAAATTAAGCTGACATCAATTAGAAGACGACCTATAACCAGAAGAATGTCACCTCATGTGATTCTCAATGTTTGACAGACTTTTCTACCTTTCATTGTAAAGCATACAAGAGACAAATGGGGGGAACTCTAGCCTTGCATCTGTTTTGGTTTACCAAAACCATGTCTAGCATAATGGGGCCAAAGTTCCCCACAGTTACAAAGATCACAATGGTTGAATTTTGTGTAGAGCACACTAAACCCTGAGTTGGCAACTCCACTTAAGGTGTTCTCCTCCTGTATAGCTGCTGCACTCACTGAGATAGTAGAAATATACTCAGTAGGCTTTGAAGGTCCTTCCTAGTGGAGGATCAGCTTACATCCTGCCTAACTCAGAGGAGATACGGTTGCTTCCCTGCTAGAGAGACCTTCATGGCCAGTTAACATACTCCCGAATGGGACGAACAAGGCATCCTAGGATGTTCTTCATGCAGTGCAGAAAGTATGTCTCACAGCAAAGCCGAGCGTTCCTTTCTAGACAGCCGCATAACAAGTTCAAATTCTCATTTGCAGAAGCAGATCCTCGCCTGATTGAATCCCTGTCCCAGATGTTGTCTATGGGGTTCTCGGATGAAGGAGGCTGGCTGACCCACCTGCTCCATTCCAAGCAGTACGACATCGGGGCCGCCCTGGACACCATCCAATATGCTAAGCAGCCACGGGCTTCCAAGTAGCACCTGGGCAACTCATCACTCCTGAAGCATATTGTTGAAGCTGCGTCTTCCCAATAGCCTCTTTTTATATCTGCTTCCCTGTCCTTAATGATCTGACTGTATCTCAATATTCTCAGTTCATAAAATTAAGAATAAATACTGACTTTTCCAGCTTACATTTCTGTATCTTCTTATTTTGGGTATTTTAAACATGTAGTCAGTTTACTAGCACTGTGCCCCAGGCAGGGCTTAAATAGCAGTTACAGAAATGGCAAAAAACAAAAACAAAACATTAGGAAACATGCATTCACTATATTCACTCAGTTACTCTAGCATCCCAAGGACTGGAGACCTCTCAACCTCTGAGGATGCCTGCCATAGATGTGGGTGAAACGTCAGGAGAATGCTTCTGAAACATGGCCATACAGCCCAGAAAATTCAGAACAACCCAGTGATTGTGGTCATGAAAGCCTTCGACAACGTCCCAAGGACTGTTTCCAACATCTCATGAACCACTATGTTCTTGTGGGTTTTTTCGGGCTATATGGCCATGTTCTAGAGGCATTTCTCCTGACGTTTCGCCTGCATCTATGGCAAGCATCCTCAGAGGTGAGGATGCTTGCCATAGATGCAGGCGAAACATCAGGAGAAATGCCTCTAGAACATGGCCATATAGCCCGAAAAAACCCACAAGAACTGAGTGATTCCAGCCATGAAAGCCTTCGACAATACATCTCATGAACCACCATTGCACTTCTTAACACTGTTGTGTATGCAACTATGCCTTTGAGTTATCTGTCAACCTATGGTGGGCCATGAATGCCATACATTTTAAAGGCAAGGAATCTATAAGGTAGTTTTGCTGATGCCATCTTTGGAAATAGAGCCTGAATGAAATAATTTACAGTAAATATGTGTGAAAAAAAAGATAATATATTATTTGCAGCATGACTGAAAATCAAGGGGTTTAGTAACATAGTATATCTAGAAGTGATTTCAAAATTTCTATAAACCCTTCTTATGCAATATAATGAATACACCTTGGGTATATCATAGAAAACAAGTCCCTCTATTAATGCCAAATGGCACCAACATGGTGAAGACAAAAGCTGAAGTTCCAAAAGTTCAGAGCCTTTTATTATATACAGCACAAAGTTTGTCGTCATCTATGTGAATTCAGTGTTTAAAAGTCCTCCAATCCAAATCAAAGCAGAAAATAATACATCCAAATGTAAAAGGAAAAAAGAACTTTAAATATAATCATCAAAATCATCTCCTGTGGAAAAAATGTTTTCAAATGGCATTTTTGAACTAGAGAGAGCATCAATGCTTCTAGAATGAGTGGAAGTAGTTTCTTCAGGCAGTCTATTGAGCTTCCATTCTTGAAACTGGGCCTTAGCCCAAGGTGGGGGCTGTTGGTTTCTTTCCACGGGAACAATGCTGCTTCGAGTAAAAGGCTGAGTGGGGCTGACCTCTACTCCCACAGACGGAGTGGCCACATTCTGCTGCGATGGACAATTCCAGTCACAGGAACGGATGCCGATGGAGGGAGCCGCCTTTTCATTTTCTCCATCTAGAGTAGATGTTTCAACTGAAATCTGCCTCTTTTGTAGGGTGGCAGATGTCACATCACTACTATAGCTCTTACCTGATAACAGGAACTTGCCCCATTTGGAAGGTCCAGAAGCTCCTGAGCCTGGATCTTTGTTCTTGCCATGTATCTCATGCCCTCCAAAATCAGGAGTCAACACATTTTTCAACGTGGCATTTTCACAGCATTTTGTACTCGATGTGACTGAGTCATGGCTGCTCTATAATAAAATACAGAAAGCGGAACAATCAGCAGCATTAAACTGCCAATATATCAGCACACTGTGTTCTTACTCCCTAGATGTCTAGCCCACTTACTTGCATTGCACAGTAGCTTGGATTGCGCATAGTAATTTGTTATAAACAGACCACCAAAGACTTATAAATGCAAAAGGCAAGTGACCTGATTCAGCTCTGTAATGTTTGATAGAACTCTGTAATAAGATCAACTTTGTACCTTGTGTAGGTACAAGGGATAGACAAAATATAGCTTCCAAGCCCCAACTCCATATTATTTTTGAGAAAAATGCTCTCAAGTGGATATGAGCAGCATTTCTGATGTGGGCCAGTTCAGTCCTAATAGATTTTTTTTCATGTCAGGAGCAACTTGGGAGGCTGCAAGTAGCTTCTGGTGTGAGAGAATTGGCCATCTGCAAGGACGTTGCCTAGGGGATGCCTGGATGTGTTACCATCCTGTGGGAGGCTTCTATCATGTCCCCGCATGAGAAGCTGGACCTGAGAGACGGGAGCTCATCCCGCTCCCCGGATCTGAACCACCGACCTTTTGGTCAGCAGTCCTGCTGGCACAAGGGTTTAACCCATTGTGCTATTGGGGGCTCCTGTCCTAATAGATGCCTTTCTGGAAGACAGAAGTGAAAAGGCCTGTTTTGGATCTAAAATGACCCACAGAAGGTCCCAAAACATGACAACAATATCCCCTAGGGCAGGAATGAGCCAACTTTGGCCCTCCTAATATTTTGAATTTCAACCCGGAAGGCCGAAGTTTGTCCATGCCTACCCTAGAGAGCATTTGGGGATAACATACTTTTTTTTGCAATAGTCAAAAAAGTTATAATTTCAAGTCTAAAGAAATACAGTTGGTATCAGTCTCAATACTGAACAGTAATATTATTTGTTTTTCAAAAGTAACTACCATAGTCATGTTACCCTTATTCAACAAATCAGAAAGGTGCAAGATACTGGCTTGTGGTACACTTCAGTAAGGATAAGTAGTAACACATTCCTAGCAATTATAAAAGCAGTTGTTAAAAGTCAGTTATACCCCTTTGTACGTTATAAGTGTGATAGAACTTAGCTGTTTCTTTGTTACTTATAAGCAGTTCATTAGATGCACCTAGTTATTTTAAGCTCTAGTAATAGCGTATGGATGAAATTCTTCTCACATTTAAAAGGCCCGTGATATTGAAATATGAAATACCTGCTATCTACCAGAACTTAGAAGCACACCATACCTCCTGAAACCTTTCAACATTGTCTGCAAATCCTGACATATTCTTTTTCTCATGTCTCTGGCCAGCAGTTGTGTACAAGTCAGTTTTCTTACGTTTCCTAGGAGGTACAGCAAACATCACAGATAATGCAATTCAACCAGACTGCCATGGACACAAAACAATAACTTGGCTCAGTGGTTCTCAACTTGTGAGTCCCCAAATATTTTGGCCTTCAACTCCCAGAAATCCTAACAGCTGGTAAACTGGCTGAGATTTCTGGGAGTTGTAGGCCAAAACACTTGGGGACTCACAGGTTGAGAACCACTGAGATGATCCCCCTATTCTTTCAGGATACTACCATTTCACAAATAATCACTAAAAAGGGCACAAAGGGAACAGAGTGCAATATAACCTGATGCAACTCACAAATGTGACTGTATATTTTACTTAGGTTTTTAAATTGTTTATTTTATGATATTCATATTTAATATTGATGTATTTGGTCGGTTGTTTGTATGTTTTTAAGTTTTTGTAAGCTGCTCTGGGCTCTGTGAGGGAGAAAAGCGGGGTATAAAGATTTATTGTTGTTGTTATTATTATAATAAACACAACAAGATTAGTACACAGCAAACAAGATCACTATGCTGGCTGGTGTATTGGATCATACGTCGGACACTTCCCAAGTGTCTAGGACTGTGCGATATATTGGCGAATAATGCGTTCAGATCTGAGTAGGGTAGCCTTTTGCAGCTGACAGATGGTAATTTTGTCAGCATCAATTGTGTTTAAGTGCAGTCCAAGGTCTTTAGGCACTGCACCTAGTGTGCTGATCATCACTGGGACCACCTTTACTGGCATTATTTGTTGCTATGTAATAATTATAGCAAGTGGCGCAGGGTGTGTCACCTTGTATTTCTCACCATACAGGCCTCTTCCTCTGTTTGCAGCACTTCCTCCTCTTGCTCCTCGCACCTTTTATCCAGATATTTAGTCCAACGGCTGGTTGTCTCTGTCTCTTCCTCCTGCAGAGTCACAAAATGTCTCAGATGCTTTTCAAACTTCAGAATAATTATTCTGTTGCTTTAAAATATCTGTTCTCATGCTAATACATACCCTGCAATCTCAGATGAAAAAAAAATCCCTTATGAATAACATTTAACAACAACAACAACAACAACTTCATTTTTATACCCCGCCACCAACTTCCGGAAGAGACTCAGGGCAGCTTACAAGCAGGACCAGGCCCAAAACATTATTTCACAAGCAGTTGCTTGTGAGAGCATTCAAGATTCTTTCCCAAACAAATGCATATGCATTGATTACCCACATACAACATGCTCACTCAGTTCCTATGCAGCCTCTTGGTCAATTTTTTTAAGAATAATTGAGCTGTCGTCTACCATCAACCAAGCTGTCTTCATGCCCTTTTCCTGATAGCACGATTTACAATGGGATTATTCTTAAATGTTGATTCTTGCGATGTTCTAGATGCAATAAGGGGTTTACCTGCTGGCCCAATTCTTCTCTGAAGTTAGCTGTGTTCTCATCACTCATTTCTGTTGGTTCTTCTATATCTCTAAAAATACATTAACTTACTTAAAGTTTGGCATTGCACATACATTAAAAGACAAATGTTGTCATTTCAGACACAACTCAGGGCCCTTCCACACAGCCATATAACCCAGAATATCAAGGCAGCTAATCCACAATATCTGCTTTGAACTGGGTTATCTGAGTCCACACTGCCATATAATCCAGTTCAATGTGGATTCTTTACAGTTGTGTGGAAAAAGCCTCAGGCATTAATCTGAGTTGCTGCTGAAAGGGGTTTTTAACTAGTGGGTTTCCAATCCCCTACTGCACAATTGAAGGACTTCACAAAGATGGGCATGTAATATAATCAATTAATACATTCCAAAGTGAATAATATGGAGGGTTGACGAGTGTAAACAAGAAAAAGGAAGACACCCACATACACACTTTCATACATGGACAACATTTGAAAAACATATCTCATGATTTTAAGGTGAAAGGGGACATTGATTTACATAATGAAAACATGCATGTTAAAGTGGAATGCCTAAATCCTGACAGATATCAAAGTTCCCACCTTCTCATCACAAAAAGGGGTTTGTCAGAGCTTAAACACGACGATGTCTGACAGTTTTAATCCTACTGTAAAGGAGACCTCTTTTGGCAGATGTACCTCTCCACAGAAACCAAACACAATCTCTGTGTCAGTTTCTGCTTCTTAGATGTACTTGCAAAGAATCTGGACAATGTTGCTGTGAGTTATTCGGGCTGTATGGCCATGTTCTAGTAGAATTCTCTCCTGATGTTTCACTTGCACCTATGGCTGGCCTCTTTAAAATCTAAACAAATTTTGCCACTTTAAACTGAAAATAATGTAAACATCAGTCTAATTTCTTTTACAGTTTGACAATGGTAATTGTAGAATGGATGCACATTGTTTATTAAAATGCATTATAAATTACACTACAATGGAAATATATGCAAAAACAAAGAAATAATTAAGCAGTCAAAACCATACCTGGGCATGTTCATGGCTGCCTGCTGATTCTCTCCTTGCAGCAAGTTTAGCTTTTGCACATGGCGCCTGCAATCAGATCCAGAGCCCTGGCCAAAAACCTGAAGTGGAGACTTCATTAAAACACTGTGGGAATCATACGTCCCTCCAGAAGTAAGTGGACTGAAACTCCCAAAGTTCAGGACCATCAGCTATGTGGGCTAGGCCAACAATTCCACCCTTGCATGAAAAAGTTTGATTTCCCTGTAGTTCTTTGATCCTTATTTTCGTAAACAGAACCAGAAGTATACTCGTATCGAAGCAGACATTTGTTATGGATATTTTTTCAGGATCATAGGATTCTATTCAATCCCAATGTAAGCATTTTATCTATCTATCTAACTATCTATCTATTTACTGTATTTATACCCTGCCTTTCTCAACCCCGTAGGGGACTCAAGGTGGCTTATGTATGTAGGCAATGATTCTTACATACATAGTAGACATACATACATAATGAAATAAGCATATACCAGCACATTAAAACAGTCATTAAAAACATATCAAACTTTAAAACACTTATTAAAATCACGTTATTCAAAATCATAATTTGTGGCCATTCCAAATTGTATTCTTTAGTGGGTTACTGACTGAATGCTTGACCCCACATCCAGGACTTTAGCCTTTTCCTGAAGGTCAGGAATAGATGCATCTAGTTATTTTAAGCTCTATTATTATTATTATTATTATTATTATTATTATTATTATTATAGTCTATTCTCAATGTAACCAGAGTTTGCCTTTAAGGAGTACATTTGCAGTATAAAGCACTTCATATTCGGACAGACTATTATGCAGTTACTGGCATATATTAATAATAATCACTATGTTTGTATAGAAATATGTTTAACAAAGGTTGAGTATCCCTTATCTGGAATTCTGAAATCCAAAGTAGTCTACAAGAGTGGCTGAGATAGTGACAATTTGCTGTCTGATGGTTCGATGTGCACAAACTTTTGTTTCAAGCACAAAAGTATTAAAACACTGTGTATAAAGTTGTCTTCAGGCTTTTGTGTTTAGACCTGGGTCCCATCTTGATATTTCATTATGTATATGCAAGTATTTCAAAATGCAAAAAGACAAAAAAACACACACAAACCAAATCCAAAATATGGAACACTACCGGTCCCACATCATTTGGATAAGGGATGCTCAACCTGTAGGACCCCTTTATATTGGGTTGTTGTAGGTTTTTTCGGGCTATATGGCCATGTTCTAGAGGCATTCTCTCCTGACGTTTCGCCTGCATCTATGGCAAGCATCCTCAGAGGTAGTGAGGTCTGTTGGAACTAGGAAAAAGGGGTTTATATATCTGTGGGATGACCAGGGTGGGACAAAGGACTCTTGTCTGTTGGAGCTAGGTGTGAATGTTTCAACTGACTACCTTGATTAGCATTTGATTGCGGCAGTGCCTGGAGCAATCTTTTGTTGAGAGGTGATTAGATGTCCTTGTTTCTTTCCTCTCTGTTGTTGTGCTGTTCTAATTTTAGAGTTTTTTTAATACTGGTAGCCAAATTTTGTTCATTTTCATGGTTTCCTCCTTTCTGATGAAATTGTCCACATGCTTGTGGATTTCAATGGCTTCTCTGTGTAGTCTGACATGGTGGTTGTTGGAGTGGTCCAACATTTCTGTGTTCTCAAATAATATGTTGTGTCCAGGTTGGTTCATCAGGTGCTCTGCTTATATTGTTTAATAGTCAGTATAATAATTGTTATAATTGTTTCAGTTGTATTGTATTAACCTTCCATGTAGACTATAAGCTTTGTGATTATTACTAACTCTGTTATTAAATATGTATTGCTCCTTGCCCAAGAAATGCTCCACTGTTTTTTCAAAACACACTTTTCCATAGATTATGATTACAGTTTGTTCTGCAGGTTAAGGAAAAGAGAAAATTCTCCACCACAGATTCAAACTTGAGAATGATAATGTACAATTAGAAACACTTGTCACTCATAACAGTGTAATCCCACATAAGCCAAGTACCTACCTTTAGAATTGACTGCTTTTCATTACATACTTTGCAATTCCATTTTTTGCTCTTTTTGACCTAAGAAAGAATCACAGACATGATTATCTACATAGTCCAGACCACATGGCCGGTCAAACAGTCACAGTCTGTGCTGGTGTTGTTAAGGATTTACCCATTTCCAAGGTGAACATAGAAAAAATGTCTTACCACTGGGCACACGATTTGACAATATTCAAATGAATACAAAAGAATAGTACTGTGAGTTTTCTGGGCTGTCTGGCCATGTTCTAGAAGCATTCTCTCCTGATGTTTCACCCACATCTATGGCGGGCATCCTCAGAGGTTAAGGGGTCTGTTGGAAACTAGGTTTTTATGTATCTGTGGAATGTCAAGGGTGGGAGAAAGAACTCTTGTCTGCTTGAGGCAAGTGTCCAGGTTGTAATTGGCCAGCTTGATTAGTATTGAATAGTCTTGCAGCTTCAAAGCCTGGCTGCTTCCTGCCTGGGAGAATTCTTTGTTGTGAGGTGTTAGCTGGCCCTGATTGTTTCTTGTCAGGAATTCCCCTGCTTCTTCATGGTCTAAAACTGGGGTCCTCGAACTTTTTAAACAGAGGGCCAAGTCACAGACCCTCAAACTGTTAGAGGGCCAAATTATAATTTGAAAAAACATGAACGAATTCCTATGCACACTGCACATATCTTATTTGTAGTGCAAATAACACTTAAAAACAATACAATAATTAAAATGGAGAACAATTTTCACAAATATAAACTTATTAGTATTTCAATGGGAAGTGTGGGCCTGCTTTTGGCTGATGAGATAGGATTGTGATTGTTGTTGTTGTTGTTGTGTGCTTTCAAGTCGTTTCAGACTAAGGTTGACTCTGAGCGAGGGCCAGGTAAATGGCCTTGGGGGGCCGTATTCAGCCCCCGGGCCTTAGTTTGAGGACCCCTGGTCTAAAATGATGATTTTGGAGGCAGGCAATGTTAGATGTATTTCCTCTGGGCAGCATTAACGTGTCAAGAGACAGTAAAGCCAATCCCCGGTGTTTCACTTCCAGAATAAACAGTGGCAGGACTTTAGACCTTGGTACTCATCTCAAACATTACAGGGCTGCCAGTTTAAGTTATTCAGTAACAGACATGCTATCTATGCTCTGTGACAACACCAAGCTTAGAAAAGTGACATTTCAGACTATAGCTCCCATAAGCCTGTAAAGCAGGTATGGGCAAATTTTGGTCCTCTAGGTGTTTTGGACTTTAACTTCCACAATTCTTAACAGCCTACCAGCCTGTTCTACAGCAATATAGGAAAGTGATGTTGCTTATATAAAATGGCCAAAACAAGGTTTGCTTTTTAGTAATCTTTTTTTGGAGGGGGGAGGTTTTTTTTCAAGCTGTGGATGGTTGAATCTGTGGGTGCATAGGACTGGTTGAATTTTAATATTTTAATGACAAGTTTTAGTTATTTTTAAACAATATTACATTTGTATTTTAATGCATTCAGATTGTTCTATAATTTATTTATTTACTACATTTATATCCCACCCTTCTCATTCCAAAGGGGACTCACAGAGGTCTTACAAACAGGCAGTAATTCAATGTATTGTCGAAGGCCTTCATGGCCAGAATCGCTGGGTTGTTGTGAGTTTTCTGTATGGCTATGTTCTAGTAGCATTCCCGGCAAAAGTATGATAGCTGGGACCCAAACAGCTATATGCTGGTTGTGTAACGTGCATCAGAATTAATGAAGGGAAGTCCGCTTGGACTGTTCCCAGCTGCTGGGGGTTCTTTCTTCGAAGGGTGGAAAGTGTGCTGGCAGCCAGAGAAGGTTTTTACAAGGCCCTACTGCGAACAGAGCGGCAGAAATCGGATTCCCACCCCCCTTCCTTCTTCTTCTGCTTTCCCCAGACAGTGGAGAAGCCGGGGCTTTGGGAGGGCAGGACGTGTGAGTCGTAGACCCCCTCCTCCTCCCTCCCTCACAGCTGCGTTTCTCACTCGCTGCGCTGTCTCGTGCATGTCTTCCCTTCATGAATTCTGACCAACCAGCATAGGGTCCCAGCTATCATACTTTTGCCGCATTCTCTCCTGACGTTTCGCCTGCATCCATGGCAGGCATCCTCAGAGGTTTATTTATTTTAAAATATTCACAATAAAAATGTAGAATAAGGACCACATACAGCTGTATGAAAAGCATTTTAAAAATGCAGGTTAGAAAAAAAAATGAAATGTCCTCCTAAAAGACTCTCTTGCCTACATTATATTATTTATTACTAGCTGCCCCCAGCCACACATTGCTGTGGCCCAGTCTGTGTATATGTGTTTTGTGTATGCATATTTGTGTATATGTGTGTTTGTGTATATATGTGGCTTTGTGCATGTGTTGTAATGTATTTTATGTTTTGGCTTTTTAAGTCACTTCTGCTGTGTTTTCCAGTGTTTTCATGAGTGACTAGCTGTCCCCTACCATGCGTTGCTGTGGCCCAGTCTGGTGATCTGGAAAATAAAGTAATGAGAAAGTGTTGGTTTCTAATATGTGTAATTTCTTTGTGTTTGTGGGTAAACTGTATTTGATTACAATTTCTTGTTCTGGTGAAGGGAGTTGGACTGAATAGCCTTAAGTATTTTCTATTTGTCATAGGGAGTTCTGTGTGGGAAGTTTGCTCCAATTCTATCATTGGTGGGGTTCAGAATGCTCTTTGATTGTAGATGAACTATAAATCCCAGTAACTACAACTCCCAAATGTCAAGGTCTATTTTCCCCAAGTTCCATCTGTGTTCCTAGTTGGGCATATGGAGTATCCATGCCAAGTTTGGTCCAGATCCATCATTGTTTGAGTCCACAGTGCTCTCTGGATGTGGGTGTACTACAACTTCCAAACTCAAGGTCAATGCCCACCAAACCCTTCCAATATTTTCTGTTGTTCATGGAAGAACTGTGTGCCAAGTTTGGTCCAATTCTATCCTTGGTGGGGTTCAGAATGCTCTTTGATTGTAGGGGAACTATAAATCCCAGTGACTGCAACTCCCAAATGACGAACTCAATTTTTTTGAGTGATGGTCACTCCTCGGGTTAGTAGGTGTCTTGTGGCCAAATTTGGCAGCAATTGGCCAGTGGTTTTTGAGTTATGTTAATCCCACTAACTAACATTACATTTTTATTTATATAATTTGTTTATTTGCGACATTTCTACCCCGTCTTTCTCAACCCTGGAGGGGACTTAAGGCAGTTACTGGAACAAGGCCACACAGCCCTGAAAAACTCACAGCAACCCACTATTTTAAAATAGTTTTGAAAGCCACCTTGGATCCCTCTGTGGAGGAAAGGCAGCAAATAAATACACAATAATAATAACAACAACAACAACAACAAATAACCAATAATAACCAGTCCCCTGTTACAATATAAAAACATCAAACCCCCTGGGGCCATTTTTGGAATCCTGGGAGTTGTAGTTGGGTGAGGCACCAGGCCTCTTGGGCAGAGCCGGCTAAAGGCCTTGTAAAACTGCATCTCCCGTGGTTCCATAGCCTTGAGCCCTGGAAGTCAAAGTGCTTCTTTGCTGCATCCCTTGCCCGGATGCCCCACAAGCCAGAGGGCGGGGCCTCCGCCTCCTCACCTGCTGCACCTGGAAGATGCGGCAGAAGCAGCACCGCAGGACCTGGAACTGCTGGGCCATCTCGGAGGAAGCGCCCGCCACTGGGCTTGAATCGCTCTTCCGGGGGACAGTGGGCGGGAAGAGGCCAACCAGCGTTTCCATTGGCTCTTTCCCCCCGCCTGCTCTAGTAACGTCAACAACCAGGGCCCCTTCTATTGGCTAAGACGCACGCCGCTGTCTGAAATGTTTTCTTCTCCACACAATCATTACACGTCCTGTGCAGAAGATTTTCATTCTGGCAAGGCTTCAAGAAGGGCTTTGATGTTGAGAGGGCCTGGTTTATGACAATGTTTGCAATATTGCCAAGTTCGCAAAGCAGGTGTATGGCATAGATGGATATATTAGCTGATTCATAACAGCATCTGAAGAAGTGGGTTTATATCATGCAAATAATAATAATACTCCTGACCTCACAATCGTGTTAAAAAAACAAAGTATGGATTGTCAATGTCGCAATCCCAGGCGACAGCAGGATTGTAGAGAAACAACTGGAAAAGCTGACACGATGTGAATATTTAAGGATTGAACTGCAGAGACTCTGGCACAAGCCGGTAAAGGTGGTCCCAGTGATCGGCACACTGGGTGAAGTGCCTAGACTTTGGCCTGCACTTAAACACAATCGGCGCTGACAAAATTACCATCTGCCAGCTGCAGAAGGCCACCTTACTGGGATCTGCATGCATCATTCGCTGATACATCATACAGTCCCAGACACTTGGGAAGTGTCTGATGTGTGATCCAATGCAACAGCCAGCAGAGTGATCTTGTCTGCTGTGGACTCATCTTGTTGTGTTTCTAATAATAATATCTAGTCTTAAATATGCTGCTACACTCATTCCCCTCCTTCCCTCCTTTTTACAGCCTACAAAGTTAATGATCAGGAAGTCCCTCTAATAAATTTGTGTTCTCCCTAAATACCAAAGGAAAGTATATTGGGATATTGTCCACATACATGATGCACACCTTTCTGCCCTTATGAAAGGGCCGCACTCCCATTTTGTGCAGTCTATGTGAAAAGCTCCCCAACCCTCAAATAATGGGTTTCCCTTATAGTTACGAACACCCACATTCCTTATTAAGGACAAACTTTGTAAAGCTCAAATAGGGAACCCTGGTAACTCTAGGCAATACATACTTTAATCACTTATGGACATTAAAAGAAGAAAATAAGAAAAAAAATACATCACAAATGGTTGATACCTCCTGCTATAAAGGATCCAGTGGTCTTCTGTCAAGAATGCATCTGAAATCATCCAGTTTTCCAAAGATGTGGGGGGGAAAATAACATACAGGGTGAAGCAGCATAAATTCCTTTAAAATGCGCGCCATTCAGTCGGTTGAAGACATAGAGTGCTAGTGGTCTCGTTCAAGAGGCAGGAGTATAAAGTTTTGTCCTGACACAGTTCAGTCGTCGTCATGCATTGGAACATGCTTTTGCCCTTGAGGCCTACTTTTCGAGCGGATTTGGAGTGGCCGGGCCACTCTCCAGATTTGGCCCCTTGTGATTTTTTTCTATGGGGTTTTTTGAAATCCTGTGTTTATGTGAACTGTCCAAGGACCCTACAAGATTTGAAGACCAACATGCAGGAAGAAATTGCCAACCTAACGCCTGCTATGCTGGCAAGAGTCATGATGAACGCCAGAAATTGGTTTACTCAGTGTATGGAGAATGGAGAATGGGGGACGTCACCTCCCTAATTTGATCTTCAAAACTATGTAAAACAAAACTTTAGGTATGCGCCTACATTATAAAAATATATATTAAATTTTCTGATTAATACAATGGGTTTTATTAAGTTTTGAAAAAAGGAAGTTATGCTGCCCTATACATTCTAGTTGGAGAGAAAACTGACATTTGCAAATGCTATGGGAAATGAGGGAAGTGATACTCTAGGTCAGGGGTCCTCAAACTTTTTAAATAGAGGGCCAAGTCACAGTCCCTCAAGCTGTTGGAAGGCCGGATTATAATTTGGAAAAAAATGAATGAATTCCTATGCACACTGCACATATCTTATTTGTAGTGCAAAAAAAAAACCCCCTTTAAAACAATACAATAATTAAAATAAAGAACAATTTTAACAATAAACTTACTGGTATTTCAATGGGAAGTGTTGGCCTGCTTTTGGCTGGTGAGATAGGATTGTTGTTGTTGTGTGTTTTCAAGTCTTTCAGACTTAGGTTGACCCTGAGTGAGGGCTGGTTAAATGACCTTAGAGGGCCATAGCCGGCCCCCGGGCCTTAGTTTGAGGATCCCTGCAACTAGGTGAACAGGAATTATGTGTATGACATGTGAAAGCATGAGACTGCTTAAAAGTACCAGAGATTGTATTATAGAATTGGAAGAGACCACATGGGCCATCCGGTCCAACCCCCTGCTATGCAGGGAAAGCATAATCAAAGCATTCCCAACAGATGGTCATCCAGCTTCTACTTAAAAAGACTCCAAGGAAGGAACTTCTACCACACTCTGAGGTAGAGAGTTCCACTGTTGAACAGCTCGCATGGTCAGGAAGTTCTTCCTAAAGTTCAGGTGGAATCTCCTTTCCAGCCATTTGAACCCACTGCTCCGAGTCCTAGTCTCCAGGGCAGCAGAAAACAGGCCTGCTCCCTTTTCCTTACGACAGCCTTTCAAATATCTATGTGTTGCTATCATGTCTCCTTTCAATCTTCTTTTCTGCAGACCTAGCATCCCTAGCTCTTTAATGAATAATTACATTCAAAAGAGAAGTACTAAGCTCACTGTAATTAAGCCCCAATCACATACCTGCTTCTTTCAAGTAGTGCTCTAGACTGCCATGTATGTGAAAAATGGGAAACTGTCAAAGAGTAGTGCAGCTACTTTAAAATGGTGAAGAAAAAACAAAGCCAAAATTTTGGTTATGTGTGATTCTGTTCATTTATTGAATACATACGTGATTGATCAGACAAACAATGAAAAATCACATGAATATTTATTTTAAAAATTACAATAAATTATTGAAGAATTAGTAAAAATGAATATTTCTACTCTCCACTTTCCAGGTGCATGGCTAAGGAGGCAAACACTTAAACACAGAGAATATACCACAATGTTGGAGTAACACTGTGTATTGCATCAAGTGATGTATCCCCTAGTATAAATCTCCTTAAGTTCTTCAGACTTTCCTCTTTCTGAATTGCCAATGCGATTCACACTCCTATAACAGACACACTTCGGCATTCACACAATTCTGATTAAGCTCATGTGACTGGACAACATACTTGTGTAATGAACATGTGTACAAATATAAACAAATATAATAGTGCTTCTTGAGAATTAATGCCTTCCCATAGGGAGGTTACCTATCTCAAAATGGAGCATTACTTTTCCTCTGGTCCACAAGTGATTTGCAGATGGCTGATCCCGTAACTGTACACTCTATATTGCCAGAGCAAAATGTGGTTTAAACATCACATTATGTTAAAGTAGGTTACAGAACTGTTTTGAATTGTAGTACAACAGCAAGTTTCCTATCGTGTGCAAGAGCTGGGTCATGATATATTAGCTAATTCAGGTAAACAGGACAAAGAACCAAGCACTCCCTTCCCCACAATTGTGCCTTCACCTATGTTAGAGGTATGGCTGGGTTTAGCACAAGAATACAAACTTGGAGACTCACTTCTGACCATAGTGAGGAATGGATCAATCAAGGAGCAGAAGCAGAAGTTAGTTAATGATAACTAGCTTAAAGGAATATAGGATCAGGGCTGGCTCATTACAAATAACTTCATGGAATTCAAAATCCAATGTGGCTAACTTAGGAGGTTGTGTAATGTATGAATGTGAGAAGGAAGCAATCTGATGTTTAAAAGCAGCATGACTTGCTAGCATTTCATGATTCTCGGTATAGTACCATTCACCCCAACCTCCATGGCTGCTACATCTTAATCCTCCTTTCTTTCCGGGAAATTAAAAATAAACACATGGCACTAAAGAATTAAAAACTGATCTAAAAGATATGAATATGCATCTTTCTTCAGACTTTGAAATCCACATGCTACCGCAATAGTAAATCACTTGCAACAAACACCAGCAGTCCCAAGACACTGGCATATTCGAGGTGCAGGATGCCAAGAGTAAGAGAATATAACATCTTTCCATTTGACAAGTTACTGCATAGCATCTACATTCCTAACAAGACATTCTTAGGCAAGGCTGGGGACCGCGACCGCATTTGGATACACTGCATTTGATGCATTAGGTCACAAGGAGGCAGCCAAAGACATAGAGGAAGGAATTGAATAGGCTGCATTTCTTGTGAACAATCAGAAAGGAAGGAAAACAAAAGGAAATGTAGCATAGTTTGACTGAAATCAAGCTTCATTAAAGAAAGATAGGTAGAGGCACACATGCATAATTTACTAAGGTAATTCTAGGCCAGAGAGGCTATTAGGTTTTAGGCTTTCATGCTTTTGAGGATGTAATGTAAACTCGACAAGCAAGGTGTCCCCCGGGGAGATATCTACACCAAAGAATGACTGTGATGAGCCCCTTACTCAGCTGAATCTACTTGCATTGATGGATAGTTATAGGTGCTGATAAAAACAAAAGCAAAGTAAGTGTCCAACCATCAATTAGGGTTGTTTTTCTTTTTGGATCAACCACCTCTATTACTCCAGCCTGCCTTTATTTCCCTGACGTCAGCCTGACACCGAGGAAAGTTCATAATCACTGGATGAGCTGAACTGTCTCTCCACCTTTTTTTGTTCTTTGATCTTCTGCGTAATGTCAACTTTCTTCTCAAAGTAGTTTACTAGGACGGTCTCTGTAAGTATGGAGGCTAGGATCTGTTCAAAGGAGATGGACCAGTCTGTGTCAATGGTGCTGCCGTATCGTGCCGCTGAGCTGCCAGCCTCGCAGCCCACCAGCACTGTGTCATCCGCAATGTCTTCGCACTGGAGTGAACCGGTGCTGACCATGGAGTACGAAGACATGGACATATCGTCTTTTGTTTCGTCGTCTGAAAAAAGCTGCACAGGAGAGCCTGAGCCTTCGCCGCCACCACCATCTACAAAAATCTGGTTTTCTTGCTGGTTTTTGTCCA